ACCCAAAGGCTCATGGAGGAAAGCCAGCCGGAAAGCCAGCCTCTGCAGAAACATGCTGGAGGCTGAGCAGAGGACGAGACGCAGAGGGGCAGGGGCCACGGAGCCCTTTGGGCTGCTCTCTTGGGGACGAGCCCCTGGAGTTGGAAGGGAGCCGTGAAGTGGCGAGAAGGTGCCCTATTTGGGAGGGGGGCAAAAAACGGGGGGGGGAGCTGCCCTTTTTCTGTGCCTCTTCTGATTGCCTGAACCGCTTCCCAGCGGCTGGGAGCAGAACAGACCCCTTTCTCTTCACACCCTGGTTTTAGGCATCAGTGGCTCTCAGCGGGAGGGTGGGGGGCACTGGGCTAGAGCCCCCTCCCTATGGCCCACCTGCCACTGACTTGGCTTACAGAATGGGGAGCTGAAGCTGGCGGACTTTGGGCTGGCCCGCGCTTTTGGGATCCCTGTGCGCTGCTACTCGGCCGAGGTGAGCAAAACCTGCGCACGGGCAGAGTGGCTGGCTGGAGGGATAGAGGGGTTGGGTGGGGGTGGCTGCCAGGGCACCTCTGGGCACACTAGCAGGACAGGCTGCCCCTCCACACACACACACACACACACAGAGCTGAAGGGATGGCAGCGGGAGGCACCAGGAGGGGGGGTGTCACTGGGAAGGGCGCGCTGCGGGCCTGCACTCTTTCAGGGGAACACAGAGGCTGAGCTCCAAAATGTGAACTGGGGGGGGCGGGAGTTTTGCCTCTGTGCAGTCTTCTGCCTCTGTGCTTCCGGCACCCAGCATCAGGATCCCCCTCCTCATTTAGGGCACTCCTGAGGGACTGCTCCCTGCCAGCCTTCACGCCTGCCAGGCATCCCTGCTCTTTCTGCCCACAGGTGGTGACGCTCTGGTACCGCCCGCCTGATGTCCTCTTTGGGGCCAAACTCTACTCCACCTCCATAGACATGTGGTCAGCTGGCTGCATCTTTGCAGGTAAGAGGGGCTCTTTTTTGGGGAGGGGGCTGCTGCTGCTCCCACAAAAAATGCAGAGTTCCGGGGGAGGGGGAGATGATGCTGCCAGTGGTGGTGCCACCCCTGCCAGGGCTGAGGGGTGAGTGCCGCTGACCTCTCCCCCCCCATGTCCCTCCAGAGCTGGCAAATGCTGGGCGGCCCCTCTTTCCCGGGAATGATGTGGATGACCAGCTGAAGCGCATCTTCCGATATCCTTGACCGCCGCCTGGCGAGGGTGCTTTGAAGGGGCAGGAGGTCTAGACGGGAACAGCCTGGCAGACGGGCGGGTTTGCCAGAGGGAGGGAGGGGCCCGGCTGCTTGTTTCTTGATATGGCCCTATCAAAGGTGTGTGTGTGTGTGTCGGGGGGGGGAGCTGAGTGGGTGGAAGGCATCGGCCCTTCTTTTAAGGGATGTGCTTGTGTTGGGGGGGGTGAATGCCAATGTGCTGCCTGGGGGGGAGGGGGGGAGGTTGGGCCCTCCCCTGGGGAGCAGGACTTTCCCTTTTGCCGCAGGACGGGCTTTCTCCCATTTCGGTTCCTTGACTCTGCCACGCTGCTGGGGACTCCGACGGAAGAGCAGTGGCCAGGCATGACCAAGCTGCCCGATTACAAGGTGAGAGGCCTTTCCGGAGAGGCCCTTGGGAGGAAAGGGGGCTGGGGGGGGGCCGACCTATTCCCCCCCCTTGGGTTGTGGCCTTTGCTCTCCTTTGAGAGTTAAGGGCTGTCCTCCTCCTTTTTCCGTACACACACACACGGGCGGGAGGAAGTGGCGACCCACGGCGGGACAGGCAGGCCGGGTCTGGGGCCGGGGGTTCCTCCCCAGGCGCCCACCCCCCTCGCCCTCTCTCTCCCCTCACAGCCGTACCCGATGTACCCAGCAACCACTTCGCTGGTCAACGTGGTGCCCAAGCTCAACACGACCGGGCGGGACCTGCTCCAGGTGAGCTGCTGTCTTCCACCCCCCCACTCCCACCCCCATCCCGCTTGCTTGCTTGCTTGCCTCTTTCTCAGTGGGGCAGCCCCAGTCCTCCTGTGGGGAGGTGCCTCCGTCTCCCCCTCCCGCCCGACCCACAACGAGCCTGCTCTGGCGCTTCTGCCGTCAGATTGCTCTGCAGAACCCAGCAGGCCCATTGCTTCCTGGGAGGAGAGAAGGGGGGGCGGTTTCCCGGGGTAGCCACAGGGTGGGCCAAGGAGAGGTGCAGGGGCTCCGGGGGGGGCTGCCCGTGGGCTCCCCGCTCCTTTGACTGCCCGCCTCCCAGCGCGGCACAGAGGAGGGAGCTCTCCGTTCACCAACAGCCCTTCTTTTTGCCTCTGTAGAATCTGCTGAAGTGCAACCCGGTGCATCGGATCTCGGCCGAAGACGCGCTGCAGCACCCTTACTTCACAGACTTCTGCCCCCCCTAGGACGGGCTGCTGGGC